AAATAATCAGGCTTTGAAAAAAGCATTGTTTATTCTCTTATTCAAATACACAGTCACCTCTCCGCAATGATAGATGGAAGTAAGCAGGGGCAGCAAGAGAGGAATTTACCCTTAACTGCTAAAAACAGGGTGGCCATGTAAGATGTAGCAAACTACTGCAGAATCCTTTTTGAAAATTACTAGTTTTGAGACATGATCCAAATATTTGAACTACAATCCATTACTTTCCTTTATTTGTATATAAAGAATCTTTCTTCATCTGAAGACAGTCTTGTGGTTAAAGTACTGCACTTGGATTTGAGGCATCTGGGTTAAATTCCCAGGTCTGCCACAGACCTTTTTAAAATCCTCACTTAAGATGTCAAACTGACACCAGAAACTGAAATGTTCATTCACAGAACATCTATGACACAGATAGCAGAAGCTATTTTTCCACCATGTTGCTTCACCAATGTGACTCATTGGCCTGCTAAACCCAGGGTTGTGAGCTCAATCCTTGAGGGGGCCATTTAGGGAACTGGGGTAAAAATCTGTCTGGGAATTGGTCCTGCTTTGAGCAGGGGGTTGGACTAGATGACCTCCTGAGGTCCCTTCCAACCCTAATATTCTGTGATTCTATATGATTCTATGATTCTCTTTGGAAGGACTGCTTCCTAAAGGTTAGTTAAAAGATGCTCAGATACCATACTGAGGAGCATGATATTAATACTTACTTAGGTACATTCAATCCTTGGATTTCCTGCTGGGTGTGACAACAAAGCTGCTAATTCGTGCTAATTGCCAGGGGATGTTTTTTGTACATTTTCCATATTTATAACTTGTTGGTATATGTATTGACATTTTATGAGATCCATTCATTTCATATGTAATTAAAGTTGATTATCAAAAGGAATTTAGTTATCTACTGAAGCAATTTCACTAGAAAATGCTTTCACTTAATTATATTTATTAAACTTTAAATCTATATTCTTTATATAAAATATTTTTAAAAGCAAATTAACTATTATTTTGTATTTTTCCAATTGCTTTTCAAGATCAAGTAGCTATCTTAGCAAATTACTCATTATAAACTTCGGGCCAAACAGCCCCCTTTTGAAGACTGAAGAATAGCTAGTAGTAATGGGACCTGATGGGACAAAACTGCGGAGGTTCTCCTTGCAGAGTTTTCACTAAATTCTTTTGGTTAGGGCATGGGTTTGCCTTTCTCAAAAGGAGGAGGTGGTTAGGCCCCAGACTGTATAGATCTTGAGGGATTCACTAAAGGCATGGGGCTATTCCAACAGAGACTTTGTGCCTGTACATTGTTCCAGAGTCCTTTATCCCCTCTTGTATTGGACCTGTTCTAGCAGGGACTTTCCAGATTGTAGCTGCCCCGGAGCTCTCCATTCTTAGGGAGCAGTGGGTGCCACGGTACCGAGAACCTTTCACTAAAGGTGCTACAGTGTCAAACTGTAATCTATTTGTGGTGATTTCCCGTTGGTTGGCAGAAGGAAACATGCATATAACACAACCTTCCCCATCACTCAGGTGTAGATTCCTGGAGGATGCTCTGTGGATTAGGGATTTATTATAACTGCTAAATTTTACTAGACTAATGTTTTCAAAATTTCTCATTCTTTTCCACGTTTCAGAATCTATTAGTGAAAGGTTACAATACTGACAGTGCAAAACCACCTGGCACCATCTTACCTTGAAGAAGGTCATTGTTGATCCATCTCTAACAGCCCCATATTCTATCTTGGTTTGCTTTGCCAAATCATCTGCTGAATCGATGGGGGATTCCATTCTCTCAACTGTCAGGAAGGCAGCCAAGTTGGCAGTGTAGGATGAGATTATGATTAAGGTGAAAAACCACCATATTCCTCCAACTATTCTGGTAGAAAGAGCTTTGGGCATCAGCTCTGATCCTGTTATAATATCATCAAAACAATCATATTAAAACATGTTGAAAGAAGTCTTTCTCTGTCAGTAGATTATTTTTAGGAGCATAACACATTTATGAACCACAGAATAATAAAAGAAATCTACACAGTAATCTCACATATGTACAGCTAACATTTATAATGGTAACATACTTTGAAGGGGATGTATGCCATGATACCTAACAAACATGATTATCCATGGGTCTGAACACCAATTTGTCTTTGAGATAATGTCACCTTTGGAGTTAACCTTTTAGACTCCTAGCAAGCTATACTAGCCATTTATCTGTATCTTAACTGCTTGTTACAAGTACTGTAATGAGGCTTTAAGCCTTAAACCTTCAGAAGAACAATACAGTAGAACCTCAGAGTTTCAAACATCTCGGGAATGGAGGTTATTTGTAACTCTGAAATATTTGTAACTCTGAACAAAATGTTATGGTTGGTCTTTCAAAAGTTTACAACTGAGCATTGACTTAATACAGCTTTGAAACTTCACTATGCAGAAAAAAAATGCTGCTCTCCCTTTATTTTATTATTATTTTTTATTAATCTTTTTTTTTTTTTTTGTTTTTTTTTTTTTTTTTTTTGGTATTTGCTGTTGCCTGATTGTGTACTTCCGGTTCCAAATGAGATGTGTGGTTGACCGGTCAGTTTGTAACTCTGAGGTTCTACTGTATCCCATTCATCACTTAGAGGAAGTGCTTAAAAAGATGGCTTTACCCTGTGTCTCTTATCTACACATCCAGGTATGTATGGTCCTGCAGCCCTCACTCAGGCAAACAGTATCATTGCAGTCAGTAGTGTTCCAGTAAAGTCAGTGGGACTTACTCACATGAATAAGGGCTGCAGGGGTCAAGACCTAAAATATGTTGTTTTATAAGCCTATACTTTTTGTTTTAAAGGTAAGAAAGTTAAAGCAACTACACAGTCCCTTCTGGATCTCTACATGATGGTGCAATGTTATGAATAATAAATTAATCCCAGTTTAAAGGACAGAATGATGACTGAAATGGCATTAGCACATCCGACTGCACATCTCACATTGTGAGACTAGGACAGTAAATGGATAATTTGTATGATTCATTTTACTTTTTAAGGGCATATAATTGACTCGGGAGGGTTAATTTGATCCCAGCTGTGAAGCAAAGTACTCCTAAACATTACGAGCCAAATACTGCCCTGACTGACACAGTATGCAACCTTGCTGACTTCGGTGGATTGTCTCGGGTTTAAGGCCCAGATTCAGACACGCACTTGATTGTGTGCTTATAGTCAACTGACTTCAGTTTAACTTCAGAGTTAAGCACAGTGCATAAGTGTTTTGTTGCATAAGGATGGACTTAAGCAAATGCTTAAGTGCTGGCTGAACTGTGGTCTGAGTGTGTACAGAATTTGATTTAATTAATATTCATTATTGTTAGAGAAAGGTCCCTGTTATTGAAGTGTTATGTCTTCTGAGCTACTTAATGATTAGGAACTTCAGACATTTCACAGAAGGTATTTAAGGCCTTGGAAGATTTTAACATAAAAACTCTATACAATTTGAGCAAAAGTTGAAAGGGTAATAATCTTCCAAACCACAGGCAAACAGATTTAATTTAGCTTTTTATAAATATATGTACATCTCTCTTAAAGGTCAGAGCTAAGCATAGCCAAGGGCTCTGAGTACATTGATGTAGCTACCAAATTATGAGAGGTAACAGCAAAGCAGACTTCCTGCCGTGTGTAGCCTTTGTGTTGTACTGATTTTAAACTAGGCCAACAGTCTAAAAGTAGAGGTTCCTATTTAATTTAGGGAATCTTAATGTATCATTTCAAGAGCTGCAGATTCATCCAGATTTATGTTTGTTAATTGTGCTTTTCTTGGTGCTTTATCAGACTAGATTTTTTTTAATGTAGTGAAACATGATTTTTTACTCCTAAGGATGTATTTATTTCTAAACTGTAGTTGATCTAGCAAACGTAAGAGCAGGCTGCTATGTATGCTGATTCAGATCTTCATGAAGATGTCATTTTCTAAAAGCCTAGATAGTTATAGGAATATAAAAGATGTAGTTAGACACTGGTACAATACCTAGTTTAAATGTATAGTGATAGTAATAGCCAACTAAACTTCAGAGACCTTAGCAGCTTGCCATAAAAGCTGGTAGTGCAGCCTTATAGTTAGAGGTACATGATAATAGATGGAGGTGGAGAAACTCTTGGTTCCTGTAGCTTTTTGGCAAAATTATAATACTCCAGTGGCAAATTAGTTGTATAAATGAAACAGAAAATCTTTAATCTAATTAAACTAAGGACAGTATATTTTAACCTGCCACTGAGTGTTATAAGCAAGGGGATTGATCTTGTAAGATGCTGAGCACTCTCCACTCTCACAAAAATCAATAGGAGTTGAGTGGGGTTCAGCATATTGCAGGATCAGGCCCATGATTTTTTCAGTATTCACCATCTCTTGGAACCCACTTCAGCAAAGGGCGTAAGCACATGCTTTAGTTTCATTGACGTAATCTTGTGAGACTTAAGCTCTACCTTTAAAGGTAAGAATGTGCTTACACACTTTGTTGAATTCGGGCCTTAGCAGGTCACTTGAGTTTTTAAAAGTAATAGTTTCTCATACATTTTTAAAAAATTTATCTGCTGACTATAATTAGAAGTATGCCATGTCTGGATACCTTCAAAGACCAGAGGAAATATCTGGGTTGAGAACTTCAAGGGAATGGGGAAATAACATCTAAGTAAAATGTTACTAGCAAGATTCAGGGTCAGAGACAATACTTGCTGAAGTCTCTCTAGTGCCTTTTTATGGCAGACATGACAGCCAATCCTGATCCAGACTTTGCTCACGCTCTGTAGAAAAGAGAAAGTCTGATCATCACATTTTAAAATTTAATAAACAAGTGGCTTCCAATCAAGCACAACAAGCAGCTTCTGTTAACAAGAAAGAGCATAACAATAGATGCAGAGGTTAGCAACCATTCATCTCTTGTTCAAACTCTACATGTTACTGATGGTGCACTTACAGTCACACGTACCACAAGTTTGTACATGGAAACATTTGCTTCACCTTACAAATGTTTTTGTAAAGCTTCTTGAAAGACAAGCAGAGTCTGGTTGGGGCTGACTGTCATGTACCCAAGGTAGTGGTAACTAGTAGACACTGCATCCCACAGTTTGCTGTGGATGATGGTAAACTCCAAAAAGGCAGGACATTAAAAACACAAAATCTTGGGGCACTCTCACACACAAGGCAGTCACAATTATATACACACACCTGCCTGATACTGTAAAACCTTAGTCTGTACTTTACAGATACATTGGAAAAAACAAAAACACCTTATCTCCAATCTTCTTCAAAATAATTTTGGTGAGGATATGTGTGTCCTATGAATATACCAATAAAACTGTGTGCATGCATTATCCTAGTTACAGTGTGAAATTTCTTCACTACCCTGTCTAAGAAAAATTCCTTCATTATTATTATTATTTATTATTTTACAAAATCCAAATTGGTATTCATGCCTATGAAAAGAATAAATTGTACCTGAATGAATGTAGGTATTCCTTCCTTTCTTAAATATTTGGGAATTTAATACCAATATATTGCTGCGACTTCCTCTATGTGTTGCCTTTTTTTTTTTTGTTTGTTTTTTTTTTTGGCCAAAAAATGTTTTCAGAGATGTTGAATGGAGCCCCGTATTGATACAATATAGCCCTTTAATGGGAAGCCTCAGTATACACACGCCATAAGCATAAGTGTTTACTACATGTATCTGCGTGACTTCCCATATCGAGTGCACTTCGCTGCCCTTCATTGACATGCGAGTATCTCTGTGCAGTTTCCAAAATTCAGCAGCAACTGGCACTTGACTTGGTTAAATTCTAAGGTTGGATGCATTTACAAGAGGATGGGACTCAAACCTGCAGAAAAGCCAATAAAAATAGGTTTTGTTTTGGTTTTAAATAAAAGTTTGACAATTGCCAACAAAACTTAACAATCTTTGTGAAGAAATACCTTTTGACTGGCTGTTACTGTATGTGTTCCAGAATTGTTATGGCTATTACTGTCTATATTGGGATGAAGCCTACGTGAATAGATTTATCATCAATAAAAATACCTTTGTAGTCATCCGGCTATTATTTTCTGTTTTGTCCACAGAAGTTCCCATATAGGACAGCTGACTTTATACTTTCTTGTATGTTTTCCCTTCTCATTTCTGCGGTTACCATATTTTGTATTTAAGCAAGTGTTAGTTTCATTTCCCTTCCCTCCCTATCCCCACTTCACTGTGTAATCTGCTTTTTTAATTTCTGAGATCAGGTTTTACAATATATGTGGTAGCTACAGATGGTGGAGTTTACCAGCACAGAAGCCCGTGAGCAGACTGTGGGATGTGTGCAATAATGATGTGTGACCGGTGTACCTTGCTGCATGAGAGCTCCAACTCCAAACCAGAAACTATTTAGTAAAGTAAAATTGTTTTCCACCACATCTGAGTCAGGGTTGCACGGGTGGGGGTTATACCACTCATAGGGTGTAAACCTGTGGTAGTTAACAGAAACAGTCTGTAAACATCAGATAAAATACACACTGAGCCAGCAAACCTGCTAAAGAATGCAGAAAATGAAAAGATTAATGAAGAAAATAACCAAAACTAAAGCATAGATATGTGTCCCGCTACCATATGCAAGCTGCAGAGCAGTACTGCAGTGCAGGGAGGGGCTTTCAGAGCTCCAGTTTTAGCATAAGCCCTACTTCATTAATCCTAAAGCTCTTTGACTGTAATCCTCAAATATAAGACTACTGTTTCTTTCAAAGTTCCCAGTCATTCCCCTAGCCACGCGATTGATGACCTGCAGAGAGGGGGATGCACTGATTCCATGTAGCTGCTCCCTGGCGAAGCATGAAAGAAAAATGGTACTCTAAAAGCAGTGCCTTTGGAGTACTCTCTATATAAAGAACTGGCATTGGGCATGACAAAAAAACTATATTACACGACCGGTTGGTGTTAAGATATTAATTTTTGTGGCACTTTCTCCAATAGTGAGGTTACAGCACTTTAATAATAATAAGTTGTTGCTACTTTGCGGGAGTAATTTCAGTGCTTAAAAACCATAGGGGTATATTTTCAGTATCATGTATAGAGAATTAGGCAGCCAGTTTCCCCTTAATGAGTGGAAGAATAGTGCTTAATTCCCAGCGCACCTTGCTGAAAATGCAAAATCTATACCCTATTATGGTCTGCAAAATAGTTGGCAAAGTTACTTTAAAGATTGTTCCTCCCCATGGTACTGTGCCTGCTGCTTCTCAGCTCTGCAGGGCACATTAGGTACATTCCTGCTGAAGTTTATGAATATAGCTTTAATTGACAATGCCATGCTAATACATTTTAATTACTTTTTCAGCAATATAATTAAGCTTTGAATTTATGCACTCTTGCAACCAGAGTGCTACGCTAAGCTGAAGTAATGAACGCTGATAGTAATGAACATACTAATTGAAACAGTAGGTAGCTTAAGATGCCATTAACTAAACAATATCATCATCACTAGTACAATAGTTGTTAAACATAATTGCAAGAGGCAATATAAAGATTAAAGACAAAAAATTTCTACATACGCCATTTTAAAAAAAACAAAAACAAAACCAAGCCATTACATTCCAGCAAGTTTTTCACTGTGCTAATAGGGTGAAAACCACCTTTCTACAATCAATGAAATTGTTCTTAACTAGATTTGTGCACAAAGGCTGAAACTCATCCCTGTGAGCCACGGCCTATGTACCAGCTAACTTGCACATAAGCCATCAAAGTGCAAAGGCCTTCTGCTGGGCATTCACACACGCTGAATTACAATGTTGACATGTTACAAGCAGGGCCGGCGCTTCCATTCAGGCGACCTAGGCAGTTGCCTAGGGCGCCAGGATTTGGGGGGGGGGGGCGGCAATTCGGCGGCGGGGGGTCCTTCCGCGCTCCGGGTCTTTGGCGGCAATTCTGCGGCGGGTCCTTCACTCGCTCCGGGACCCGCCGCCGAAGTGCCCCGAAGACCAGGAGCGCGGAAGGACCCTCCCGCCGCAGAATTGCCGACGACGACCGGGAGCACGGAAAGACCCCCGTCTAGGGCGCCAAAAACCCTGGCGCCGCTCCTGGTTACAAGGAGTGTAAAACAGTAATTGTGCATGATCTTTTGCTGGGAGCCTTGCACTGCAAATTGAGCAGGGCTGGGCTCTTACATTTTTTTAAGTAATAAACATATTCTGTAGCTTAGACAAAAATGTATCTATAACAGAAGGAACAAAATGGCAACTGCTAGAAAATAGCAATAAAATTCAGTCGGCAGAACTACTTCTGCAGGACTAGAAAGGCTTTATTTTATTATATGACCTTTTGATTATTCAAAGAGCAAAAGTCTACAGCTGCTATTTTTAAAAAATTTGTGCTAGTATATCAGTGACTCATTCTCTATTAGAATTAAATATCAGATTTTCTTGTTATGCACCTTATTCTGTGAAATGCACTGTATGAAATGTTGATGCAATGAACAGAGGAGGGGCAGGTCAATGATTCTTTTCCAGGACTTGGCTAACCTAGGAAATTTCTGTTAATATTTCCACTGTTGTTTCTCCTTATTCATTTCCATCAGTGGGAGCAGTAGTGTAGACAAGATGTTGTAGGTTGCTGGCAGTTAAGCATTACCTCGCGTAGGGTTTTTCTGAGCAAAGTTTGATGACTTTGTGCCTATATCATTGATAGACACCTATGCTAGCACTTCCACCACTGATATCACCAGTGGAGATGAAACGAAGGTGGCAACAGAGAGAAATTTTAGCAGAACATTATTAGTGTAGTCACAGCTAATGTGGAGAAGAAAAAGAAAGAAACTGTAAAAATCAGTAACTTTACAAATAGTGATAAGGCATAGCTATTTGTTTAATTATTATGGCACTTTATACAAAATTTAAATAACAATGGTAATACTACATAAGACCTCAGGAGAACTACGATATGAGTCATGCCACTGAAAAAAAAATCTTTAGAAGTACAACAGACATGTCCATAAATATTATCCCTGAATATTTCTCTCAATGAGAGTGCAACAATAAACAATGATGTTTATTTGTTATAGCACTGCTAGAATAGTGGAGATTTGTGTGCAAGGGTCTTCCTGAATTCTGCCTCCAGTATCTCACCAAAAGGTTCTTGAGAATTGACCTGTCCAATCCCTGGTGAAAGAAGCAAACCTTTAGCAGATGAAAAACAGATTTGGAGGTGTGAATGGACTATTCTGGCTTTTCCTAGATGTGTAGTCGGAGTCCTAGCCTGGTGAAGCAAGTTTAAATGTCAGGTGTGTACTAAATACCTTCAGCATAACTATTTGCCAACTAATTTAGCACTGCTTCTAGATACCAGTTCAGCAAAGCACTCAAGCAGGTTTTTAAGTTCCATTGACATGAATAGAACTTTATTAAGTCATTTGCTGAATTGGGCCCTTAGTCTCCTGTTTTCCTAAATAAGTAATCAGCAAGAATAATAAAGCTTGATATTTCTAAGGATTTTTTTAAAAATTAGAAAATGGGAATTATCATTGTTCCAGGGGCAAAGGACTGTTTTTAGCTAAAGGGAGCAACGGTTAGCAGTTGAGAGAGTGAAACACAAGGGATGATGATTCAATAATATTTTCCTCTTTTTTGTTTGTGTTCATTTGAGCGTGCATTTGGGTATAGCCCATTGGGTGGCTTTCTTGATTACTTGTCGTATCCGGTGCATTCTTTCATATACTTAAAGCTTTGTCTGTTTTCTGAGTTTGACATGGTTTTCCTAGAGAATTTACAGGGCTGAGGGCAAACTGGGGCTTGTTTGTTTGTTTTTTTCCTTCTCCCTGTTCCTTGGTGGAGAAGGCTGTGGGATGTTTTTAGTCTTGGCGCACAACAACAGAACGAAGTTAATCTGTCACTGATGGGCAGATTTAATATCAGCCATGAATGAGACGATGATTTGTGTGCAGTTAGAATTATTATTCATGGTACAGTGAGCTACTGCAAGAGCTTGTGGGAAATCATGACTAATTGTACACAGTCTTGTGGCTGATATGAGATTAGCCGTCAGTGATGGATGAACTCTTTCTGTCACCCAGGACCTACACTAATGAGTTGTCCCATGATCCTCTAAGCAGTTTAAAACAAAACAACAATAAAACCTACAAATTGCCCCCCATCACTGTAGTCTGCCTTGGGCACTGGTGCTGAAACCAGCAAGCAGACAAAGTTTCACGTATATGAAAGAGTGCGTTTACCAGTGCATCCACTTGAAAAGAAAGCTGTTCTGTGGGCCATAAAGAAATACACAACCACGTCAAACTGACCTCTGTGGGACTGCTCTTGTAAATAAGGGAGCTCGCCAATTAAAAGAAATCATAATTTGGGGTGCGGGGAACTCATGACAAGAACTATGTAACTCGTCTCAGAGCTGTATAGGAAATCAGACAGTGTGTATGCATATTATCAGAATGACTAACATGGGGCTATTATAATGATGCTATTTTATTACATTTGCTCTTTCATTGTAGTCTCTGGAATCAAAAGATACAATTTTAATTGAGTCAAATTAGTTTGAGCATTTACAAGAGTTTTGTATTAAATGTTTACATTGTATCTTTACTCTGATATGAGGAATATTTAGAATTTCAACAATACAGCATTCCAGCTTTATATATTATCCTATAGCTACCTGTATTATATAAATGTTAGACCATGAAGAGTTACATTATTTGAAACTTGTTTTCTTGGAGTATCTACTCTGATGCTCTTTTTCCTTCATTAGTGTGAATTATGTCATTGTTTTATATTCAAAGCAATACATGATAGAATTGGGGGGAAAGCTTTACAAGGTGTCAGAAGAAAAAATATAATTGTTGGTAATGGAAAAACCAATAACCCAGACAAATATTTTTATGTATATTCCTAGGAAGGAGGAGGAAGGGTTGGAAAATGTTCAATAAATAGTGATGAAAATTATAATTCCAAATAGTGGAAGAAGTAAAAATAAATGACTTTTTACAGAGTCTTAGTATGGATATCAAATGCCATCAGAAAAAAAAATTAATATGTTTCAAATATGGCATCCAAAGGATGTTGAATTAATATTTTATATATAAAATATTGAAATTCCTTAGGAAGGGATATCTTGGAAAGTTTCATATGCAATGTAGATGTCTGATCCCACAAACCTTTATTCAAATGACTAACCCTTATTCATACCAGTAGAGGCATTGAAGTTAATGTGACTACTTATATATGAACTATTCATGTAAGAAAGGTTTCAGAGTAGCAGCCGTGTTAGTCTGTATCCGCAAAAAGAACAGGAGTACTTGTGGCACCTTAGAGACTAACAAATTTATTAGAGCATAAGCTTTCGTGGGCTACAGCCCACTTCTTCAGATGCATATAGAGTGGAACATATATTGAGGAGATATATATACACACATACAGAGAGCATGAACAGGTGGGAGTTGTCTTACCAACTCTGAGAGGCCAATTAAGTAAGAGAAAAAAACTTTTGAAGTGATAATCAAGATAGCTCAGTACAGACAGTTTGATAAGAAGTGTGAGAATACTTACAAGGGGAGATAGATTCAATGTTTGTAATGGCTCAGCCATTCCCAGTCCTTATTCAATCCTGAGTTGATTGTATCTAGTTTGCATATCAATTCCAGCTCAGCAGTCTCTCGTTGGAGTCTGTTTTTGAAGTTTTTCTGTTGTAAGATAGCCACCCGCAGGTCTGTCATTGAATGGCCAGACAGGTTAAAGTGTTCTCCCACTGGTTTTTGTGTATTATGATTCCTGATGTCAGATTTGTGTCCATTAATTCTTTTGCATAGAGACTGTCCGGTTTGGCCAATGTACATGGCAGAGGGGCATTGCTGGCACATGATGGCATATATCACATTGGTAGATGTGCAGGTGAACGAGCCCCTGATGGTATGGCTGATGTGATTAGGCCCTATGATGGTGTCACTTGAATAGATATGTGGACAGAGTTGGCATCGGGCTTTGTTACAAGGATAGGTTCCTGGGTCAGTGTTTTTGTTCAGTGATGTGTGGTTGCTGGTGAGTATTTGCTTTAAGTTGGGGGGTTGTCTGTAAGTGAGGACAGGTCTGTCTTCCAAGATCTGAGAGAGTAAAGGATCATCTTTCAGGATAGGTTGTAGATCTCTGATGATGCGCTGGAGAGGTTTTAGTTGGGGGCTGAAGGTGACAGCTAGTGGTGTTCTGTTATTTTCTTTGTTGGGCCTGTCTTGTAGGAGGTGACTTCTGGGTACTCGTCTGGCTCTGTCAATCTGTTTTTTCACTTCAGCAGGTGGGTATTGTAGTTTTACGAATGCTTGATTAGAGATCTTGTAGGTGCTTGTCTCTATCTGAGGGATTGGAGCAAATGCGGTTATATCTTAGAGCTTGGCTGTAGACAATGGATCGTGTGGTGTGTCCTGGATGGAAGCTGGAGGCATGTAGGTAAGTGTAGCGGTCAGTAGGTTTCCGGTACAGGGTGGTATTTATGTGACCATCGCTTATTAGCACAGTAGTGTCCAGGAAATGGACCGCTTGTGTGGATTGATCTAGGCTGAGGTTGATGGTGGGATGGAAATTATTGAAGTCCTGGTGGAATTCCTCAAGGGCTTCTTTTCCATGGGTCCAGATGATGAAGATGTCATCAGTGTAGCGTAAGTAGAGTAGGGGCGTTAGGGGACGAGAGCTAAGGAAGCGTTGTTCTAAGTCAGCCATAAAAATGTTGGCATACTGTGGGGCCATGCGGGTACCCATAGCAGTCAGCGGCACATCATCAGAGATCTACAACCTATCCTGAAAGATGATCCTTTACTCTCTCAGATCTTGGAAGACAGACCTGTCCTCACTTACAGACAACCCCCCAACTTAAAGCAAATACTCACCAGCAACCACACATCACTGAACAAAAACACTGACCCAGGAACCTATCCTTGTAACAAAGCCCGATGCCAACTCTGTCCACATATCTATTCAAGTGACATCATCATAGGACCTAATCACATCAGCCATACCATCAGGGGCTCGTTCACCTGCACATCTACCAATGTGATATATGCCATCATGTGCCAGCAATGCCCCTCTGCCATGTACATTGGCCAAACCGGACAGTCTTTACGCAAAAGAATTAATGGACACAAATCTGACATCAGGAATCATAATACACAAAAACCAGTGGGAGAACACTTTAACCTGTCTGGCCATTCAATGACAGACCTGCGGGTGGCTATCTTACAACAGAAAAACTTCAAAAACAGACTCCAACGAGAGACTGCTGAGCTGGAATTGATATGCAAACTAGATACAATCAACTCAGGATTGAATAAGGACTGGGAATGGCTGAGCCATTACAAACATTGAATCTATCTCCCCTTGTAAGTATTCTCACACTTCTTATCAAACTGTCTGTACTGAGCTATCTTGATTATCACTTCAAAAGTTTTTTTCTCTTACTTAATTGGCCTCTCAGAGTTGGTAAGACAACTCCCACCTGTTCATGCTCTCTGTATGTGTGTATATATATCTCCTCAATATGTTTCACTCAATATGCATCTGAAGAAGTGGGCTGTAGCCCACGAAAGCTTATGCTCTAATAAATTTGTTAGTCTCTAAGGTGCCACAAGTACTCCTGTTCTTTTTTCATGTAAGAAAGGCATTGGGACATCAGACTCCAGAATTGCTAAGAAAGGAGTATTGCTGAACTTTGTCAATCATATTTTCATATTTTTCCTTTTCAGTTTTTAAACACAATTTGTTGAACTTTTCGTTAATCAATCCCCCCCTCCACCCCCAGTTTCTAAACTTGTATTCTATTAGGAGTTTGCTCTTCCATGGGTTAGGAGTTCATTGATAGCAGAGGCCTGATTCAGGACAGCATTTAAGCATATGCCCAGTTTAAGTCCTATTGAAGTTAAACACATGCGCCCTTGGATCATAAGTGCCTTCCTGAATACGGCTCTCACTTGGGATTTGAGAGGACACAGTGCTTTGTACCTCCTGTGACAATTCACTTTAGAGAGAGGTATGGGAGCATCTTGCAGAGCCAAGCCCTTGGGTTCTCTGTTATGCTATCCTGAATTTTCAGAGTGAATTGATCTGAGCTGACTTCCACCCTTCAGCAACAAAGATTTTCAGATTTTCTCTTGGCTTTTAACTGTATGCACTGTTAGCTGAAAAGTGCAGTGTTTATAAAGGAGTAACTATGCTGAAAAGCAGTTGTATATAATATTTTCATTTCTATTAAGTAACTGATGACACATTTTATCAATTTTATTTTTTCTCCCTTAAACTCTTAAGTAAAGAAGAATCCCGTTACACTATGAATATTTATGTTCATATAAAAAATAATGCAAGACAACCCCTCTGGAATGCAATGTTTTTGGTACTGTATCAAATTCCTAGAATATCATTAGATTGTCATTGGTGGAGTGAGTATATGTTGTGTTACCAGTGCAACACATGATAAGAGGAAAGAAAAGAGGTTGTCTCTCACACAGTCTTTTAACTTACCTTGCAATTACAAAGAGTACACAACTGACTCCAAGGCAGGCTAGGAGGACATACATCCAAATATCAGGAGAAAGAGGGTTGAGAAAGGAGAAAACACCAGGATTTGTGCCATTGGGTTTCCGGTACAAAATACTGATCCCCAGCGTCATGAAGGGTTTTGAAAAGTCGATTACTTTCTCCCTTACGTAGGTGATAGTGAGAGGAGCAACCGCCAGATCGGCTTTCTGGGAACACAAATTGGAAAATATTCTCATTTTCTCTGCATTCAACAAGCATATTTTTATTCCTTCCACCTTTTCCCATGGGTATTAAACAAGCTAAAACAAACATGTCTAGTTTTGCCTAGAAGCTGAACTGTAATTGAGTGTAAAATAAAAATTCTTGGTTTCCTTATTAAAGGTCATTGTGGGCAGAAAAACTACTTCAGAAGAGCTATAGTAATTTGAGTATGACTGAAACAGTTTACATCAAGAAACTGTGGCAAAACAGTGCATTATTAGGACGTTACCAGAAGCAGAATGGACATGTCTGACATATTATTCATGGGAAGTGAGCACCCAAACAAATCAAAGCTTTTCCTTGTCTTTGCAGACACCAAGATCCTTTGATGCAACAATACGGGCACCTTTCCAATGGATAGGGTAGAACATGATTTGCAGAGCCTGCAGGGGGGCTCAGCACCACTCATGAACTGCAGAGCAGTGAAGTGCAGCGGCTCCCTGCCTACTGTTGTGCAGGGGAGATTGGGTCTACTGCTATGGAGATTTAACTATCATTGCTGCAGAGTAAGGGCCTAGGTGCTGGGTGAACTACTGTAGTCTCAGGGCTGTCATAGTAGCCATGGATCAGGTCTACAGTGTGGGGGAATGTATTTCTTCCCTCCTAGAATACCCCAGCACTGGGGGGAAGGATTTTCCCCCAAAATGCAGACCCTAAGTACTTGTCTTTGCTCAAGGGCTTTTCTGTGCTATGAAAATGGCTAGTCCTCCTGTTAACGTAAATACTTCATTTGACTTGGCTTCTTATAAACTATCTTAGGTTAAAGTAGAATAAAGACAGAACAATTCATTCTTACATGATCTATGAGTTCTTTGACCATCCCATTCCACTCTCCTTTGTCATTCTGGGCTCCATATTTACCATCAGAAACTAGTTTGACCTCATAGATGAAGCCTAAAATATTTGACAGTTCCTTCAACAAATCCAGGCAATATCCTTCGAATCTGTCATTTCCATACAAGGGCTTATCAGACTTTTTGTACATAACATAGGGATCTTCCTATAGAATAAACACACCAAACATGTAACAATAGAAATGAGGTACATTTCAGATAATCTCAGTTTATACATTACACAAATAGTTGGATGATTTACTACAGTTGTACAGGTGCAACAAATTTACCCTGTCCATTAAAAGTCATCTTAGATATGTTAGTAAATTGCCCAAATCAATCAGCTATAAATGTCCTGGGTCTGAGTTTCATGGGATCTGAGGGACTGTTACTCCCATTGGCTTTAATTAGAGTTGTTGGTGTTCAGCACCTCCAAAATCAGGCCCAAGATCTATACTATATAATGTGCCATGTTAACGGATGGGTAAGGATACTGCAGTAGTACAATAAATACTAGACCAAGAATCATAAAGTAAACCTAAAAATTGACTTTCTAAATAAAACAAACCTTAAAAAGTATGAAATAATGTAGCCATTGACTGGAATATATTCATGGGAGAGAATAAAAAAATCGCATAGGTAGAGTGGTTTTGTGTACATGGTATTTCCTTTTCAGCTCTGGGCAAGGCAGGCTTCTGTAGTTTTAACCTAAAGCGCAGGGCTCCTGGCAGTGGAAAGTCAGCAGAGAGGAAGTTGTGGCACAAGGAATCTGCAACTTTCCTTTCTCCAGGGAACCCAGAACCAGCCAGTACAGCCCAAGAAGTAGCAGCACTGGCCAGGAAGACAGGGATCAGGATTGTGGAGGATACACAATTCAACACATCCTCCCCACTGTAACTTCCATTCAACACCGGTGAGGATGTACCAGAATCTGTCTCTCCACTCTGCACCATAAGCTGCTCTTCTCATCCAACCTTGTTTGTAGTGAGAAGTCAAAACATGTACACGCTGACTATAAAAGTTAGTATTTGGGTGTGTGAAATTTTCTTTGTGGAAAGAAATACAAATTGTTTCTTCAAAGTACAGAGATAAGCTAAACATAATTTGGAAATGTGATTACTTTAGTGTATAGATGGATAATGGGCAGTTTGATTCTGTGTCTATATGCAAATAATATGCTGGGCTAGAAACATCGGGTGGTTTGTCAAACCATACATTGGTACAGGGAACAACAAAAGATGAAGTGCGGAGTTTAGGCTGAAAAGGAAGGCTTCATATAAATATGTAAAACAATGTAAGCAATGTATGATCTATTCTACACTATGGATAATAATATTAACACTGAGTCCTGTGGCACCTTAAAGACTAACAGCTGTATTGGAGCATAAGCTTTCGTGGGTGAATACCCACTTCGTCAGACGCATGTGGGCATTCACCCACGAAAGCTTATGCTCCAATACATCTATTAGTCTTTAAGGTGCCACTGGACTCTTTGTTGCTTTTTACAGATCCAGACTAACACGGCTACCCCTCTGATACTTAATATTAACACTATGCAGCAGGACTTACCAAAATGGTAGTGACTATGAGTGTTCGGTTAGCCAGTGAATCGGTGATATTGGTAGATCTGTCTTTATTGCTGTCAGTCATATTAAGGCCACTATTTGAGTTCCAAACCCCAATCTGCACAGAACAAAGTAGATAAATGGCTGCTAAGCCTCAGGGATTGCATTCAGTGAAATTATGTATAATTTTCCATAAATGTGCATTATAGTTCACAGTCCAAAAAAAGAACATTGATACCATACATCACTGTGATAGACTAAAACATCAGCCGTATGAAATGTTTCAGGAACAAACTGGTTATAATTCTAAATAAGGGAACAACATCAAATGGTTGACTGTCATATTTAAATCATTAGGAACACACTGCTCTTTCAAAAGCAGGTTGAAATGAATTAACCATAAGAGTATAAGGTATGTCAATATAGCTGTGCATTTGCCCATTTACTACAAAAGTGGAACATGTTGACTTTGTTCCCTCCTAAAAATGTCAAATGTCTATTTTCATGAAATTGGTTCTTTTTGTAAATGGTAAAGTTGAAACATATGGCAAGACCTTTCCTTTCCAAGACAACAGATTAGAAGCTTGGATAAATATGCTGAAACAGATTGATGGATGCACTGGCCTTTTACTTTTGCTCTGAACCTGCTGAAAGCACAGATGATTATTCCAGTCACTTCTTGACTACTGATAAGACAGAACCATCAAGGTGATGCCATTTCACCTCCGATCAGTATTTGTCAGTAAATGCAAAAGACTAAAGGAGAATGTAGGTTTAGATTCCTTTCCAATCCCCACAATAAGTAGTAACTCCAGCATTTAGGGCCTGATCCAGAGCCCAATATAGGCAAGAGGGAGGCTTTCACTGATGTCAATGGATTTGGATCAGTATCTTTACAGTGGTGCAAATTACAAAAGTAAAGTTAATTTATTCAGATAAATATCAACTTTACATATATTCAAATTTAAATCATCTCAAGATTTTATTTCCAAATCTTTCTGGTATTAATGTCTTTTAAAATAAAGTTGTATAGATTTGGAAATTGGGCAATAATAACTAACCCCACACAAGTTTTCATGCACAAGTTTTCCTCCTGAAAAAATATTGTGCCTCCAAATAGGCGTAATTAAAAATGCTACTTGCCTAACTTTGCACAAGGCCCCAGTTCAGCAAAGTATTTAAGCACATGTCTAACTAAACACATGAGTAGTTCCATTCACTTCAATGGGGCTATACATGTGCCTAAAGTTAGACATGTGCTCAAGTACCTTGCTGAATAGGGGCCTAAGTGCCCGGCTCTGCAATATGTTGAGTGCTCTTAAAGCCTGCTGAAGTCACTTAGCACCTCACAAGACAACTGGCACACTGAAGAATCAGGCTGAATGTGAGAGCCACTGTTCTGAATGGGCCTGATCCTGCTAGGTGTCGAATGTCTCCTACAAGACACGAATGCCCAGATCCACAAAGGGACATAAGCATTCCAATGCTGAGAGTCACAATGCCCAACTTTTAGGTGCTTAGAAAAATCACAGGAACAACGTTGCGATCCACAAAGCCTGAGTTAGGTGGCTAGGCTCCCTATACAATGAATGGGGAAAGATAGGGGCCTTAAACTGCCATCCACAAAAGCCATCACACTAGTCAGCTCCCTGCTAGCCAATGGCAGATGCTGACTGGATCAGGGCGGAGGTATGTCTTAAGCCCTGCCCCTATCTCTGCTTGCACTCCACAACTGGGAAGCCTCTTCTGGAGTCAAGTGGCTTAGAAGCCAAAGGTGTTTCTTGTGAGATGGAGCTAGGTGTCTGTCTGTCTCCACACAAGGCATCTCGGGGGTGAGGAGGGGGAACATTTCAAAACCTTTAGCTTAGTGGTTAGGGTACCCCCTGGGATGTAGGAGCCCCCCTGTTCAATTCTCCCCTCTCCTTGGTGAGGAGAAGGGAGTTGAACAGGAATCTGCCACCTCTCTGGGTGGGTCTCTCTCCACTTTAACATTTTCTCCCCACCACCAGATCAGGCCAAACAAGCAAGACAGGCACTCCTCTGCCTACCTTTCCCCCCAGTCTGTGGATTGCATTGGGGCTTAGGTGGGTGATTGGTGCCTGGGTGCCTACAGCGGGGCTGCAGTGTGAATGCCCCACTTCGTCAGCAGAATATTTACAGCAGAAATGTAGGTGCTAAATGAGTCTAGGTGCCTACAGAGTTAGGTGGCAGCTGAGCAGGAGTTTTGTGTATAGCAGAGGAGTCTAAAGCTGGGACTTAGGTGCCTAAATATGGGGTTTAGGCATGTAAGTACCTTTGTGGATCTGGGCCTATGTGCCCTCAATTTGTATGGGATTGAATATGTCACTTCAACGGGAACTGACTTCAGTGGGGATGGAGGGCACTGAGCATTTCCAGGATTAGGCCCTGAAGTGACATCTGAATACAGCAATTTGAAAATGGAGCTTTTCATTATCTATCTATTGTTAGACACTCGTGATGAAATGACACATGCAGAAGATGTTTAGAGAGTATTCAGTATCTTTCTATGCTATTAGAAAACTTGATGAATGAAGCATGATATGCCTTAGACCAAATTAATGCAAAAAATGCACAAAACGAGCAGATTCCCTGTACCAACATTCCAGGCTTTTGAAAGGTTAGAAAAAGAATCTTGCCAAGTTAACTGTCAAACAACTGGAAATACAGAATCAAAATATCTGTTACTGAGGAATGATACATTTTACAAAGCTCACCACAGGTTTTACTTTAATTGCATGGAAAGATTTTCTTCTTAACCTGAGCTAATGAAACAACAACCTCCACTTTGAGGAGCAAAATCAATACAAAAATGGTATATGAGCCATCTGCGTTAAACTGCCAATTTAAATATGATCAATACCCATATAATGATCCACACTCATTGATTTGTTAAAACAGTCTGGAATGATGTCACAAACATCACCTACCATCTTAGGCTAGAAGAGTTGACCAATGTACCTTGGATTTAAAGAGACAGGGCCAGCTGTGGGTCTGGTCCATTCAATATACATATATTTTAAATTGAAAGTTTGTGAAAGGTACCAGATTGATGGCTTTGGGGACTGGCATACTCCATCCTCGGAACAGCATGCTTCATCATACTGGTCTGCCAGTGCATTTCAACCGTATCCTGGAGGGACCAGCTTTCAGTGCCTCCCTGCTGAGATTGCCAACAAGGCTGCCAAATCAGACCAAGATTGAAACTGCTGACCTGCCTCACATACTGTACACCTCCGTCAGCTGTCAGATGGTCAATCACTACTGACTCAGGCGGGATTTGTTGAGATTATTAACTGAGGCAGGGACTGTCTTTCCTTGTCCAGAACCCAGCACAATGGGGCACTGCTCCCGATTGGGGTTTTGGGGATTGCTATTATATAAATATTACAATAACAATTATATCATTCAAACTATCTATGGCTGAAAGCCCCAGGATCCCATTGTCAATTTCTTTAGCTAACCATTTCTCCTCCTATGGCATTTTTAATTGGGATAATGTTGCTCATGATTCCTTCCCCTACACACACACACACACACACACACACACGTCTTTTAGGTTTCTTTTGCTTCCAGAAGGAGATCAATTTGGGATTATTGATCTGAAAAGTATTTATATACATGACGTGTTGGGCGTTATCAGTTTAGTTAATCTGGGGCCATGATAAATGGCTAGTTTCTTTTCATTTGTTTTGGGGCAGTGCGCATTAATCAAAAGCTATTCTGCTCAACGTTGCTGACTTCCTGACACACTGGTGTGCTTGAAATAGCTGGCAATGAGGAAGAGCAGAACGGTCATACAGAACATGGAATAGTACAGTCAGTGTATACACAATACATCAAGATGGCCACTGTACATTGAAATTAAAGGAATGACACTGTAGGTCAGTCTTGATACTAACAATGAAAAAGGTCAGGAGGGCATTGGATGAATGAGGCCAAGGTATTACATCACTATGGTGAATCTGGAGGGGGTTATTGCAGTTTAGTGACAAATTCAAGACATATAATATGCCCTTCTCAATGAGTCTGTGTTCTGAACCAATTGTAATTTGGCTTAAATTAATTCAACGTAACATGAAATGCCTAGAGTCAAAAGCTAGATTGGTTCAATAAGCTTCTGTATGTCAGGTAGGATGATCTATCCACTAGTAATGAGGAAAATAGAATCCGTTGTGCCTTAGCCTGATTCACTGAAGATTAAAACAAGGTTATTAAGTATGTGTTTTATTAGATTAGAAAAAGAGTGCTATAGGACACTGTAGGCTACTCTAGAGTAGAGTGCCAAAAAAAAGTATTTTTAAATGGGGAAAAAAAGTTTAACGTTTTTAAAGATGTATGCAAAATATAGTTGTTATTTTACGTAGCATTTTTTTATCTGTATATCCCAAGCACTTTACAAAGGTGGGTAAGAGATTATTATCCCTCTTGTATAGAGGTAGAAAACTAGATTCACATAAGGCTAAAGGCCTTATCAGAGGTGCTGAGCACCTGTAGTGCCCTTCGACTTCAGTTGGAGCTATGGGTGCTAAGCACTTCTGAGAATCAGGCCTTGTAAGTGACTTGCCTATGGCCACTCAGTGAGACCTAAGAATAAAATTTGGTTCTTCTGATTCTCAGTCTGGTGCCTTTTGTATTGGTCCAAGCATCCCCCATATGTTAAAAGGAAGCATGAGATGCCTGGAATAAGTTGGACAGTTTATAAACAAGCCTGCTTCCAGTTTACATGTGTTATTGAATGTCTGAATTGCCCATTAATCGTACTGTATGCCAGGAGCTAATGTGGTAGTGAAAACTTAAGTCAACGATACTAGAAAAGTCATTCATGGCACACACTTTGTGGGAGTGTCAATAAGCAACACACTTAGCACAGCACCCACCATTAATGCTGTTAAAGGCACTGATACTTGAAACCCCACTTTAATGAGTGAGGTAGGGGAACAGCTGTGAAGGTGTCTGCTTTTTAATGCCATCATTCAAAGGAGGAAGAGGGCCAACCCTTGAGAATTAAAAAAAAATATTATTAGGGAAAAATATTTAATCCATCTGAGGCCTCTTTACAATTTGTAAGTACTAGAGTACATATCGTGAGTAGGAATG